TGACCTTTTTACCTGTGCTGGACTATGGTGATTTGTTGTATATGAATGCACCTGCCTATTGCCTGAACAAGTTAGATGCCGCCTATCACAGCGCACTGAGATTTGTCACAAATTGTAAAGCACTTACTCATCACTGTACCCTGTATGCCAAGGCAGGTCTGCCATCACTTACTGTAAAGAGGCTCAGTCATTGGTACATTTTTATTTATAAAGCTTTGGTGGGTAAACTCCCATATTATATCTGCTCTCTGATAACACAGAGAGTTGCAAGCAGCTATTGTCTGAGATTGCATGATGTAGTATTGTTAGATGTGCCAAGAGCAAGGACTGTCTTAGGTAAGACAGCTTTTATGTGCGCAGCTCCATTTGCTTGGAACAGTCTTCAGCAAGAATTGAAACTGAGCAATCTCATTCCTCTGCATGTTTTTAAAGCTAGGCTAAATGAAATGCTCGTTGATACTATGGCCACTTGTAAATGTCTATAACTATGCAAATGTATCCTGTAAATATAATGTATAATGTCCTTTATTGTTTTATGTTTCATGTGGAACGATATGCTGCAGGTCTCCCTGGAAAAAGAGATCTATGATATCAATGGGACCAATCTGGTTAAATAAAGGTTTGAAATGAAAAATGAAATGAAATGGCAGAATATAATTTAACTTTAATGCAATCAATATAGTTGTTGAAGACCTTTTTGTGCGTTCAGGCTTAGTTTAGGATTAAGTCATCTAGCTATATTTTTTATCTACGATTGTACACACCTATAGTAAAGTTAACAGTGTTTTTCGATTGGAAATTTCATATCTTGTTTGTCAAATTGACATTACATTACAAATTGCTGGGTGCGTCATTGTCTTTATCATTTTGAGATGCTCAGAGAGCAGACTCTTCTCACCTCCCATCTTAGTTAATATTATTAGCAGGGTGGGCAATTATTTTTCCTGGGGGGCAAACAACCCAGATTGTTGCAGGGTGCCAAACAAATGAAGCCTTCCGAGTAAATCGCCAGAACGCTGACACCTCCTCATCTCCACCGCTCCCATGTTTTCTTTTGTGTTGCCATAAGTTAGTCTCTCTGCGTTTGTGTGCTGGGCGAATGCTAATGCTAATAATGCTAATGCGAGGATAATAAAATGGCGGCTCTACAAAACATTTCAGAGTTTTACGGGGCGTGGTTTGCAATCGCCCAGCCAATCAGAACTGTGGTACTTTTTTCCCCCAGGAAAGTACCTGCTCTCAGCAGGCGCTAAAAATGGGGTGAAAAGTTCCCGGCACTTACTAGTTATTTTTTTGGTGTGAACGCGACATCAGGGGTACTAACGGAACTAAACGCGAAAAGTACGGGTGAAAAGTACGGGTGAAAAGTACGGGTGAAAACTACGGGTGAAAAGTACTCGGTGTGAAGTACTATTTAAGTTTACTATTCAGTCGGCGCCCTTTTGGCCCTTTTGTTTGTTCAGGCTGCGTGCCTTCCATTTTGTTTCACCTTGCTTTATAATAAAACTACTTATAACTAATTCCATTCTGGTGTATGTTGCTTTCCTCTTCCCCTAGTTGGGACGTAAATTACATACATGGGGGCTCGTCCGGGATAAATAATTTAATTCCTGGGGTTATAAGTGTTTTTTTATTGCTAAAAACAATTTGGTGGATTTTGTGTGCAGTTTCTGAATATGGCACTTGGTCTGTCCGTCCTATGAGCATCTGGACCTGTGTCGTAAGGGCGACTTATTTGAGATAGCGCAACATTTCAGTCTCCCAGTGGAAAAACAATTATTAAAAAAAGAGTTACAGGCTCTGGTGGTGGATGAGTTGGTGGAAAGGGGTTTTCTGGTGCTGCCTGCATAAGCTGAGCTCACTGTGCCTAATGTCCTGCCTAAAGGAGAAGGTGGTGATGGCGAAGGCGGCGGGCAGTTTGAAGCACCGTCCACGCCGCCTCGTTACAATCCACCGTCTCCTGGCAGCTCAGACTCTCGGGAAGGGAGTAAACTGAAGGTCCGTCTCGCCCGTCTTCAGTTGGAGGCGGCAGATAAGGAGAGCCAGATACAGTTCCAGCTAGAGGTGCGGAGGCTAGAAATTGGGGCAGACAAGGAAGTCAGGATGCGTCAGCTGGAGCCAGACTCCCAACTGCGCGCATCCGGTGCTTCTGATCCTGCCGGAAGAAACTTGCCATTTCCAGCTCATTCACCTGCCTTTGACATGAGTAACAATATTTCGCTAGTGCCAACCTTCTGTGAGACTGAGGTGGATGCCTATTTTGGTGCCTTCGAGCGCATTGCTACCGCAAGAAAAGTTTGCCTGATCGCATTGTTATGTACGTGAATGAACAAAAGGTAAACTCTCTCTCTGCTGCTGCTGTGTTAGCCGATGAATATGTGTTGACGCATACATCTGTGTTTTCCCCTGTCGCTACTGAGAGGTCACGCCGTGTGTCTGCCGCACCATCTACTGAGCCGTTGAATGTGTATAATGTAACCAGAGAGGAGAGAGAGTGTTTTTACTATCACCAACCTGGACATGTCATCGCCAACTGTGCAGCGCTGAAGCGTAAAGAACAGCGGCAGAATATGGCCCAGCCAAAAAGCATTGGCCTGGTTACACACACAAGTGCACAGGCAAGTAAAAGTGACTCTGATGTCTCATTGCCTGAGCCTGTGTTTGTGCCGGTGCTTCCAGATAAAGCTGTGTTCGAGGAGAAGCCAGTTTGTGATGTTAGTGTGTGTTATTAGGCAGGTTAGTTTGTGATGTTAGTGTGTGTTATTAGGCAGGTTGAGTTTGTGATGTTAGTGTGTGTTATTAGGTAGGGTTGTTTAGTGATGTTAGAATGTGTGTTATTAGGAGTTTCGTTAGTGTGCTAGGTTCACAAAACCTGTGGGTTTGTGTCTTAAGGGGGGAGTGTTACGGCTGCTGCCTTTCTGGTCGTCTCCGGTCTTATATGTAAATGAGCTGTGCGGGTGCCCTGACGTCATTGGCTGCAATCTCCTGGTCCGCCTCCCGAAGATTGTGATTGGAGCACGCCGGGCCCGACGCACTCCAATCGCAGCACACAGCCGGCGCGCACCTGCTGGAGATTACTTCAAAGCCTGTGGCTGACGATCACTCTGGAGACTCTGCTGGGTGAGCGGAGGCCTCTCGCTAGTTGCTAGTTTGTGTGTGAATTTGTTGACAGTAGGTTAACTTGTGTGGTCCGTGTTGATCCGTGTTATTGTGATTAGATGTGTCTCGATTAGTTTAGTGTTGTGTGACTGTTGTAATCTAATTCAGTTGTGTTTTTTTACAGCTTCCTGTATTTATACTGTACCACTTTGACAGTGAGGGTTTTAGTTGCTATTTAGTTCGTTATTATCTATTCCTTTGTATGTAAACAGGCTCCCTTTGTTAGAGTCCTCCTTTTGTTTGTTCATTAGTTAAGTCGGCGCCCTTTTGGTCCGTTTGTTTGTTCAGGCTGCGTGCCTTCCATTTTGTTTCACCTTGCTTTATAATAAAACTACTTATAACTATTACCAATTCCATTCTGGTGTATGTTGCTTTCCTTTTCCCCTAGTCGGGACGTAACAATAGCATAGGCTAATGGAGATGCAGTTATTTCCAGCATTCTTTATTTACCATTCATTCAAGTATTTTATGACTTTTATCTGCTAATGTACAGGAGGAAGAGTGATACACTGTCTGTCTAGTTGGCTTACATAACAGTTAAAGTTTACAGCCTAAAAAACATGGAGCATTTCCCCCCTTTTATTCATTTTTATGTCAATTTGCACATTTCATGGTGATTCTCAGCCTCTCCCCTTAACTCCTAACAGTCATCATCATGTCAACCACAACACAGAGAAATACTGATAGAAATGTGTGTGTAGTTGTTGATACATTGCTGACAGAGGGAACTACATTTGAATACAGATTTAAGAAATATTATTTTTTGAGCATGTAATAAGCATGTTTTGTCTTGACTATATTACAACTATATTATAATATATTATTTATATTATTGAATTGATTATGATTATTAGTAGAAGTAGTTTATTTGCATTAACTATATTCTAATCTTTTTGAGGCTAGTATTTGGCAGGAAATGCAGACGTATTCACCTGTAAACGCATACTGAACGACATACATGCACATTTACCATTTACCTCACTGTATAAAAAAGTAACTGTGTTGATAATAATAATAAACAGGAATTATATTTGCAAAGTAGCCTACTTTGTTTCCAAAAAAAATGTTTTCACTCCTGTTGGTTGGTTGGGGGGGGGCCTCATCTCACAATGTCGCTTGGGGTCCCAAGTTGGTCAGGGGCGGCCCTGTGTGTGTGTGTGTCTGCTCGGGCGTATAAATGCGCGTGCTCCAGTGCTTGGATGTTGAAGCCCAGCGTCGGGGAGATGGTGCTGCTCACTGACTGCTTCGCCATTACTCTTCATCAGGATTTCAGGATGGTCGTCTTCCTAGCGTTATCCACACTTCTGCACGCACCAGGTTAAAGAAACAACCCTATCACACCTGATTGTTAAATAGTACGTGTTTATTATAATATGTAAGATTAGTAACCTACTGCTGTGACATTAAAATTAATATGCAATTGAGCTTTTACACTTTTCTACCAATTTACACTCCCCAGTGGTGTGTTAGCTTTTATCTCATGCTCAGCACCGAGCTAGCTGTTCACTATCCTGCCGGATGTTCTCTAAATGCTGTATGTAGTATTTAGTGACATTTTTAACTCGTTTTTAGACTCTTATTAAAAATGGCTGCCGCTCGTTTGCTGTGACCGCAGTGTCTCTCAATGATGATAATTACACAGACCTGTACTGAATGACTGTGACTGGACTTAATTATTCTGATGTGAGACACTTTAAAGTGATGTTTGCCGACTCATGTCGTTCTGCAACATGGATGTATAATAAGAAGTCCTGCACACGTGGAGTGGTCACGTGGCGGCCTACAGAGGAAATGACATGCTAGCTACACCCCGCTAAAGCATTCTTCCTTTTTGTTTCTAGATGGGGAAGAACGATCCACAGACTGCTTGCTGCAAAGGTAAATTATCCACACCATGTGGCTCGTTAACATATATATGGTCAGATGTTCTTTAAATGGCTGTGAAAGCAGGGTGTAACATGGAGTCTCAGACTCTCATGCTACAGTGATGTTTCAATTGAACTCTCTCACTGAAATCTTTTGTGGAAAACATAACTCAAACTCTGAGTAGCATAACTCCTGCCGAATTAGCTTTGAATAAACTTCGTTAATGGATTCTGAGCAGCACATGGGCTCCACCTAATGCATCGTGTAATGCGATAATCAAACTGATTTTTAATTTTTCTTTAGATTGGCCTGCGCTCTTCTAATCGGCTGCAAGTGCACTGAGGTGAGTGAAATGTGGCTTAAGAGTTTATTCTGTCTTGGAGTGTAAATATGATGATCATTTGACAAGCATATGTCTGATTTCAGTGATGTCAACATTTAATCTGATTACCGCTAAATGAACTGATAGAAATAATAAAAAATGTAAGCAGGTGGTTTAAACTCTCTTTGTTTCTCAAGATGCTTTGGGCAAGGACAACACAGGAATATTTCAACATGTAAATGATTTGAAGAAATACTGTTTGAAAGCATGAAATTGTGTAAAACCGTCAAACATCTGGACGATAATGTCACATGGCAGTTTCTCACCAAAGCCCTGATCAAATATTTCAATTGTGATTTGCCACAAAAGTAATATTTTGACCTCTACTAAAGTCCCAATTTCTTATTCAGTGCCTCGTACCAGTGGATGTGTGAAGCTGAGAAAAGCTGAACGGTGAGTCTCCTTTACTCTTTATTTTTATTCTTCATGTCATTTCATAATGCAGTTCCAATGATGATGAACTTAGCTCACTTTGAACCGATGTGAAACGACACGAACAACTGAGAAACTGCATTATTTATTATCTGTTTAATTTTGGAGCTCCTGATCTATGTAGCTAACTTGTGTTAACAATTGGAGAAATGTAGATGCATAGTTAAAATGTACCCGTATTCTGCCAACAGATGAATTGACTGAAGGAATCTTTTGTGAAGCTGAGGACATGCTGAGAAAATGTTTAGGGTGAGTCTCCTTTACTCCTTATTCTTCATGTCATTTCATAATGCAGTTCCAATGATGATGAACTTAGCTCACTTTGAACCGATGTGAAACGACACGAACAACTGAGAAACTGCATTATTTAATTTGTTTGCTTTATCTTGCCTCCTGGTCGATGTAGCTAACTTGTTTAAAATTGTAGAAGTGGAGATGCATAGTTAAAATGTACCTGTATTCTGCCAACAGATGAATTGACTGAAGGCCTAAAGCTGTGCTGCTGAGTTCAAAGGTAAGCTGTCCTGACTCTAAACACAGAACCAACAGCCATTATTCCAGCCTTGCTGAAAATGATGAGATATATCTATGGAATCTCGTTCGTCTGAACTCCTGTTGAGAAAATCTATATCTGACATCAGTACACGTCATCTTAAACTGTTAAAATGTTGTGCTGACACGTGACCTTTGTCTCTTGCAGATGCCTCTCTGGAACATGATGCTCACTGCTCTAAAGGTCAGCATCAATGCTGAACTGGGAACCCTAGTTATCAGGATGGCCCAAGCGAATGTAAGTATCTTGTGATTAGTCAAATACTTATAATCAGTTACTCACCCTGGCTTGCCTGGACGCCTTGAAAAAAAACATGCATCTCATACACTTCCCCAAGTCGTGAGATGCTTTGTCAACAGATATGCTGTTAAGGTTGTAAAATGAATTCACTGGAGGAATGGAAGAAACTTTATGAAAGTAACAGGGTGAATAATTGATATTAATAAATGATTAGTATTCCTTGCGTCAAAGTGATGAGTTTCTAATTACCGCCCCAGTCTGATAATTCATGACTGATTGGTTACCCCTCTGATAAAACAAGATTTAAAGTACTTATGACTTCAGGAGAGTTCACTGGGTTTGCTAACTCAGCCTTCTTTTTATTTACCTGTTGCAGGTGTGACACCATCTGATGCAATCTGACTCGTGGATCAGCACCGCTGCAGGACTGCTGCAGGTACATGATAAACATGTTTGCTTTCAGAGCGGCTGCACATGTCTAAAGTGATGATTTCCTTATTACCGCCCCAGTCTGAAAATTCATGACTGATTGGTTACCGAACTGATTAAACAAGAATTCAAATGGCTCTGATTCATGTGAGGTGGCTTTGAATAACTCGTCCTTTACTTGTTGCAGGTGTGACGCCGTCTGACTGTAGTCGTGTGTGTGGGGAACAGGTGCAGGACTGCTGCAGGTACATTATCAAATGTTGTCTTTCAGAGCTGCTGCACAAGTCTAATGTCTAAAGTGGTGATTTCCTTATAACGGCCCCAGTCTGAACTGTCATGACTGATTGGTACTTCTCTGATTTAAAAATTAAATACTTTAGTGTCCGTATTTACTTTACACGTTTTAACGACAGTGCTTTAATGTTAAAGCCCCTCGTCGGCGAGATGGTGCTCACGTCCCCTCCATTAAACTTCTTCAGACTGTTATCCAGACCTCTGCACGCACCAGGTTAAAAAAACAATCATCTCGCACACCTGATTGTTAAATAATACGTGTTTATTGTAAGATTAGTAAAATACTGCTGTGACATTAAAATTCATATGCAATTGAACTTTTCTACTAATTTACACTCCCCAGTGGCGTGTTAGCTTTTATCTCATGCTCAGCACCGAGCTAGCTGTTCACTATCCTGCCGGATGTTCTCTAAATGCTGTATGTAGTATTTAGTGACATTTTTAACTCGTTTTTAGACTCTTATTAAAAATGGCTGCCGCTCGTTTGCTGTGACCGCAGTGTCTCTCAATGATGATAATTACACAGACCTGTACTGAATGACTGTGACTGGACTTAATTATTCTGATGTGAGACACTTTAAAGTGATGTTTGCCGACTCATGTCGTTCTGCAACATGGATGTATAATAAGAAGTCCTGCACACGTGGAGTGGTCACGTGGCGGCCTACAGAGGAAATGACATGCTAGCTACACCCCGCTAAAGCATTCTTCCTTTTTGTTTCTAGATGGGGAAGAACGATCCAGACTGCTTGCTGCAAAGGTAAATTATCCACACCATGTGGCTCGTTAACATATATATGGTCAGATGTTCTTTAAATGGCTGTGAAAGCAGGGTGTAACATGGAGTCTCAGACTCTCATGCTACAGTGATGTTTCAATTGAACTCTCTCACTGAAATCTTTTGTGGAAAACATAACTCAAACTCTGAGTAGCATAACTCCTGCCGAATTAGCTTTGAATAAACTTCGTTAATGGATTCTGAGCAGCACATGGGCTCCACCTAATGCATCGTGTAATGCGATAATCAAACTGATTTTTTATTTTTCTTTAGATTGGCCTGCGCTCTTCTAATCGGCTGCAAGTGCACTGAGGTGAGTGAAATGTGGCTTAAGAGTTTATTCTGTCTTGGAGTGTAAATATGATGATCATTTGACAAGCATATGTCTGATTTCAGTGATGTCAACATTTAATCTGATTACCGCTAAATGAACTGATAGAAATAATAAAAAATGTAAGCAGGTGGTTTAAACTCTCTTTGTTTCTCAAGATGCTTTGGGCAAGGACAACACAGGAATATTTCAACATGTAAGTGTAAATGATTTGAAGAAATACTGTTTGAAAGCATGAAATTGTGTAAAACCGTCAAACATCTGGACGATAATGTCACATGGCAGTTTCTCACCAAAGCCCTGATCAAATATTTCAATTGTGATTTGCCACAAAAGTAATATTTTGACCTCTACTAAAGTCCCAATTTCTTATTCAGTGCCTCGTACCAGTGGATGTGTGAAGCTGAGAAAAGCTGAATGGTGAGTCTCCTTTACTCTTTATTTGTATTCTTCATGTCATTTTATAATGCAGTTCCAATGATGATGAACTTAGCTCACTTTGAACCGATGTGAAACGACACGAACAACTGAGAAACTGCATTATTTATTATCTGTTTAATTTTGGAGCTCCTGATCTATGTAGCTAACTTGTGTTAACAATTGGAGAAATGTAGATGCATAGTTAAAATGTACCCGTATTCTGCCAACAGATGAATTGACTGAAGGAATCTTTTGTGAAGCTGAGGACATGCTGAGAAAATGTTTAGGGTGAGTCTCCTTTACTCCTTATTCTACATGTCATTTCATAATGCAGTTCCAATGATGATGAACTTAGCTCACTTTGAACCGATGTGAAACGACACGAACAACTGAGAAACTGCATTATTTAATTTGTTTGCTTTATCTTGCCTCCTGGTCGATGTAGCTAACTTGTTTAAAATTGTAGAAATGTAGATGCATAGTTAAAATGTACCTGTATTCTGCCAACAGATGAATTGACTGAAGGCCTAAAGCTGTGCTGCTGAGTTCAAAGGTAAGCTGTCCTGACTCTAAACACAGAACCAACAGCCATTATTCCAGCCTTGCTGAAAATGATGAGATATATCTATGGAATCTCGTTCGTCTGAACTCCTGTTGAGAAAATCTATATCTGACATCAGTACACGTCAACTTAAACTGTTAAAATGTTGTGCTGACACGTGACCTTTGTCTCTTGCAGATGCCTCTCTGGATCATGATGCTCACTGCTCTAAAGGTCAGCATCAATGCTGAACTGGGAACCCTAGTTATCAGGATGGCCCAAGCGAATGTAAGTATCTTGTGATTAGTCAAATACTTATAATCAGTTACTCACCCTGGCTTGACTTGAAAAAACATTCATCTCATTAGGGCTGTATCCGAATATTTGGTCGTTGGCCTATTCGGTTTTCGTTATTCTTTATTTTTCTTCTAAATGTATGCTATCAATATAGGTGACTTGACACATTCTTTTACTATATTTATACTTTTTAATTGCACTGTTAAAATGCGGAAAATATATACAATCACAGCTTGGGCGCCTCACATCGCTTTCACTCACAGCGTCACGAACGTCACGCTTCACACTCACCTGAAAACAAAATGCCGAAGACCTCAGCTGTGTGGGACCATTTTAAATTGGACGAAGGCAGTGTGCCAAATATGCAATATGAAACTGGCCTACCACGGTGGTACAACGACTATGAAAAGTCACCTGAATGCTTTAAGTAGTAGCTTAGCTGTTGTCCAGTTGCCATGATGAAGCTGCTTTATCTGCCGTTCAAACGGTAACGTTACACATGCGTGTTGAAGTGCACCGAATATTCGCTGCCGAATATCCAGAGCCCGAAAAATGGTATTCGGGACAGCCCTAAATCTCATACACCTCCAAGTTGTGAGATGCTTTGTAGACAGATGTGCTGTTAAGGTCCTAAAATGCATTCACTGGAGGAATGGAAGAAACTTTATGAAAGTAACAGGGTGAATAATTGATGTTCAAAATGTTTAGTATTCCTTGCGTCAAAGTGATGAGTTTCTAATTACCGCCCCAGTCTGATAATTCATGACTGATTGGTTACCCCTCTGATAAAACAAGATTTAAAGTACTTATGACTTCAGGAGAGTTCACTGGGTTTGCTAACTCAGCCTTCTTTTTATTTACCTGTTGCAGGTGTGACACCATCTGATGCAATCTGACTCGTGGATCAGCACCGCTGCAGGACTGCTGCAGGTACATGATAAACATGTTTGCTTTCAGAGCGGCTGCACATGTCTAAAGTGATGATTTCCTTATTACCGCCCCAGTCTGAAAATTCATGACTGATTGGTTACCGAACTGATTAAACGATGACATACTTTAGTGTCTTAATTTATTTTACACGTTTTTAACTACAGTGCTTTAATGTTAAAGCCCAGCACCAGGGAGATGGTGCTCACGTCCCCTTTATTAAACTTCTTCAGACTGTTATCTAGACCTCTGCACGCAACAGGTTAAAGAAACAATCATCTCGCACACCTGATTGTTAAATAGTACGTGTTTATTATAATATGTAACATTAGTAAAATACTGCTGTGACATTACAGTCAATATGAAATTGAGCATTTACACTTTTCTACCAATTTACACTCCCCAGTGGTGTGTTAGCTTTTATCTCATGCTCAGCACCGAGCTAGCTTTTCACTATCCTGCCGGATGTTCTCTAAATGCTGTATGTACTAGTATTTAGTGACATTTTTAACTCGTTTTTAGACTCTTATTAAAAATGGCTGCCGCTCGTTTGCTGTGACCGCAGTGTCTCTCAATGATGATAATTACACAGACCTGTACTGAATGACTGTGACTGGACTTAATTATTCTGATGTGAGACACTTTAAAGTGATATTGGCCGACTCATGCCGTCCTGCAACATGGGGAGTGGTCACCTGTTGGCCTTACACATGACAGAGTGTGAATTAATATGAATACTTTTGTCCTTGCCCTGATCAAGCATTTTAATTGTGATTTGCCACAAAAGTAATATTTGGAACTCTAATAAAGTTAATTTCTTATTCAGGGCCTCTTACCAGTGGATGTGTGAATCTGAGGACATGCTGAGAAAGGTTTTAGGGTGAGTCTCCTTTACTCTTTATTTGATTCTACATGTCATTTCATAATGCAGTTCCAATGATGATGAACTTAGCTCACTTTGAACCGATGTGAAACGACACGAACAACTGAGAAACTGCATTATTTAACATTGTTTAATTTTGGAGCTTTATTTTGCCTCTCTTACTATCAGTTACTCACCCTGTTTCCTTACTGTTGAAAAAACATGCATCTCAAACACCTCCCCAAGTCGTGAGATGCTTTGTAAACAGATGTGCTGTAAGTCACTAAAATTAATTCACTGGAGGAATGGAAGAAACTTTATGAAAGTAACAGGGTGAATAATTGATGTTCAAAATGTTTAGTATGCCTTGCGTCAAAGTGATGAGTTTCTAATTACCGCCCCAGTCTGATAATTCATGACTGATAGGTTACCCCTCTGATAAAACAAGATTTCAAATATTTATGATTTCATGTGAGTTCGAGTTTAACTTTTTATTTTACCTGTTGCAGCTGTGATGCAATCTGATGCAATCTGACTCGTGGATCAGCACCGCTGCAGGACTGCTGCAGGTACATGATAAACATGTTTGCTTTCAGAGCGGCTGCACATGTCTAAAGTGATGATTTCCTTATTACCGCCCCAGTCTGAAAATTCATGACTGATTGGTTACCGAACTGATTAAACGAGAATTCAAATGGCTCTGATTCATGTGAGGTGGCTTTGAATAACTCGTCCTTTACTTGTTGCAGGTGTGACGCCGTCTGACTTTAGTGATGTGTGAGAACAGCACGATGCACGACTGCTGCAGGTGAGCTTGCCTTCAGCAGAAATAAACTATCCAATTGATGAATGTTTAAAAGACAAGCATATGTCTGATTTCAGTGATGTCAACCTTTAATCTGATGACCCTTAAATGAACTGATAAAAATGATTGCTTTCCAAGCAGGTGGTTTAAAGTCTCTTTCTCTACTTGGTCTGATTTTCTCAAGATGCTTTAGGGAAGAGCGACACATGTACGGCTCATGGACATCTCAACATGTAAGACTCAATGACTCAAGAAATCATGTGTGAAGCTGTGGACATGCTGAGAACATTTTAAGGGTGAGTCTCCTTACTCTTTATTTTTTATTCTTCATGTCATTTCATAATGCAGTTTCAATGATGATGAACTTAGCTCACTTTGAACCGATGTGAAACGACACGAACAACTGAGAAACTGCATTATTTAATTTGTTTGCTTTATCTTGCCTCCTGGTCGATGTAGCTAACTTGTTTAAAATTGTAGAAGTGGAGATGCATAGTTAAAATGTACCTGTATTCTGCCAACAGATGAATTGACTGAAGGCCTAAAGCTGTGCTGCTGAGTTCAAAGGTAAGCTGTCCTGACTCTAAACACAGAACCAACAGCCATTATTCCAGCCTTGCTGAAAATGATGAGATATATCTATGGAATCTCGTTCGTCTGAACTCCTGTTGAGAAAATCTATATCTGACATCAGTACACGTCATCTTAAACTGTTCAAGACTGTTAAAATGTTGTGCTGACACGTGACCTTTGTCTCTTGCAGATGCCTCTCTGGAACATGATGCTCACTTCTCAACAACAAAGGGGTTTGCCCAGGTGAGTCCTCGTGTATACATGTATACTCTGCTGTCGTAATACCTAACATCTAGACACATTGCATAGTTTCAAGCTGATGTAAGTATCTTGTGATTATTGATGCCAAATACTTATCAATTACTCACCCTGTCTTACCTAGAGTTTTTAAAAAAAACATGCCTCTCACACCTCCACAAGTTGTGAGGTGCAGGGTGAGTAATTGATGTTCAGTGTTGTAGTATTCCTTGCATCAAAGTGATGAGTTTCTAATTACCGCCCCAGTCTGATAATTCATGACTGATTGGTTACCCCTCTGATCAGAACATAAACAAATGGTTGTTTTTTTTGCTACCCGTCTAAAACGTTTTCTTCCTTTGCAGAAACCGGTTGTCATGAAGAGAGGTCCAAAGCCATCTTGTTCTGCAACACAATCCTGCAGTTTTCCAAGCTGTGGTACAGCCTTTCCTGGACATGTTATAGTTTGGAGTGCACAGTTAAATCCTTACTTGTATTTCCAGATTGCTGGAATTTGATACCAAATAAATAAGTGTACGACAGCTCTTAACTGTGATACTTTATTAACACCCAGTTGAAATGGCGTGGTGTAGAAGTTTGTTCAGTGAAGGACAATTGACATCCAACTTTTTCCAACCACAAGTGAGCAATGTATAGCTTGAAAAATTACAAGGAAATGTTAACTTCTGATTAGTTTGACATTAAGTGCATTTATTTTTTTTTGTGAAAATGTAAGTAACCACTTTGTGTCAAATATATTGTGCCATTGTGAAGCGCTTTTGATTATTTGCATTAGTTGACACCAGATCAGCGGTGGGAAAGGTACTCGGATCTTGTAATTGAAGAGTGTTGTAATGCTCCTTTACAATTTTTAAAGTACTGCATTTAAAATGTTACTCAAATGAAGTACAACAGTATTAGCATCTAAAGTACTCACTATGCAGATTAGCCAATTTCTCAATCATATCCTGTTTTGCTTAGGTGTTCATTTTACTAGAGGGTAGTTTGTGCATTTTACCCCAGGTTTAACTCAAATGTTATTTCACATTAATCTGAATCAGTAAAGTAGTTGAGGTACAAAGTAGCAACATTTACAAGTATGTCAACATTATACTCGAGTACAGTAAATCTACCTACTTTTCACCACTGCACCAGACAAATGGAAAATGTTTGTCATGCAATTTCTGACGGTGGCATTGAAACAAACCTCATGCTTAGTAACAAAGGGACACATGAGGCATGTGTAGTCTGACCTTCAGGTGCTTGTGATGGGAACAAAATGTTAACGAGAATGTGAAAAAATCATTTGTTGCCATTAAAATAGAGGATTGTGTTGCAAGCATATCAAACTTTTAATAAATTACTGTAGAAGCAGCTTGATTTCCTTTCAATATTTATTCAAAAAGGCATTTCAATTGATTAGAACACTAATGCAAGGTACGAGAGCAACTGGGAGAAGGTTCATGTCAGTGAATATACATGGCATGCTGTAAACAAACTTGTATTAGGTTGTCTTTGACAAATTTAAACCCTAGATCTCTTAAACTAAGACGTGGTGTCCACAACTGTCCAAAAAATAATCCTGGTGTTTTCTTGAACTATGGATAGATAACTGTAGTCCGATGAAACGAGTCGTGTCACCCCTTAAACACGAGGCAGCTGTTAATAAAGAAATCGGGACAATCTCAGTCAGTGGTGAAGATCCTTGCAGCGATATCATCTAATAACCAGTCCACTCCAGCTAACAAATTCTTTCCTGTTACTGCACTGCAACCAATGATGCACCAGTGATGGCTTTTGATGTCATCCAGGGCCAGAGCCTGCAGGGAAACACAGCAACATCAGACAGGAGGAATTTGATGCAGCAACAATGAAAATACATTTATCGGGTATATGCAGGAATCCTGAATTCAAATGTAATACTTTTTTAAGAGCCTTTCCATACATTTTAAGACCTCATCGCCACTTTGAGTTTTAACCGTTTGCGACACACTTTACTATATACAGTATTGATTGTCCTTCCTCCTTATCTTCCAAAAATGTGGACGCAAACTTGCATTTCCCCATAACGATGTTGTTTAACAACCGGCGTAAACGGACCTTCGCGCGCTATCAAGCAGTGAGCGTGCGATGTCCTGTTCAGATGACGTCAAACCCAATGGCAGTGTGAGAAAAAGTTTTTAGAGAGTACTTGTCCATGGACAAGTGAGTTTGGCAATTTACTTGTCCGAATACATTTTTCACTTGTCCAGAATGGACAAAAATTGGGGCCACTGGAATCTTCTTATTCGTCATCGTATTTTACATTTTCCCACGGTTTTTACGACACCGCTAACGTAAGTGAGCGGTAAGATTTTACTGCATCACACATAGGGTTGGGTATCGTTTGGATTTGAACGATTCTGGTTATTTTCGGTTCTTTGAGAGGGTAAAAATAAGTCAAACTGGGAGAAAAATATATTTATGAAAAGATTAAGTCAAATCTGTATTCCTATTTACAAATCACTTCATACTGTTGCATTTCTTACGGTTATTGAATACAATTTATATAAAAATAATCTCTGCATTGTTTAGTTAGTTCTAAGTGGTGCAGTTTGAGAATGTACAATTGGCCCAGTCTCCTCTGATGTTACACTGCAACCTGCCTGTGAGACAGAGTCCAACCACACATGTCCAACACATAGGACATAACCTAATAATAATAATAATAATGACACATTAGATGTATAGGCCTAGCGCTTTTCTACAACTCAAATACGCTTACACATGTCCTGCAATACACATGCTGCAGCTGCTCACTGTTTGTAAAAGTAAATAAATAGTATTTTCATTTCAATAATGTACTTTCTATACCCTGCTTCATAAACAATACTGACATCCCTGTGCTCCTCTGAGTCTGGGGGTCCGGGGATGTGAGGACACAGACAGGGAGGTTGCTTTACTTCATAAAGGAAATGGTGGTCAATATTAACAACATAGGAGTTAAAACGCTTAATAACCTTCATTGTGTGTTAGAGAAAGAAAATAAGAAAGTTTGACAAAGATGAGGCTGTTAATCGGGCAGCGGATCCGCTGTGTGTAGAGAGAGAGAGAGAGACGCTGAGCTGCACCGTGCAGCGATCAGCTGATACGGAGCATAGAGAGAGCTGCAGTCCGCGGGGCTCGGCCTCGCCTCCTGTCCTCACAACTCTTATTAATCCCGGTACCGGACAATTGTTATTTGTTCCTACTCGGAACCGTGTTTTGCTTCCCAACCCTGCCACTGTGCTACACTTCCCGCCCCGTCTAACTGTACAGAAAGCGGCGAGATGCATTTCCTTAGGAATCGACAAGCAGAACCGAAACTAACACTTCTAAACAAACAATGGCGGACACGTACAATTTGCGAATGAGTTCTGCCTTTTGTAAACTGAATGTATCAATAATTTGTCAATAAATCAGGCCGAAAAACGTCACTTGTCCGCCGGACAAGTCAATTGAAAGATCTACTTGTCCGATATTGTAAATAACACGTCCCGGACGGTGGGACGTGTACTTTTTCGCACACTGAATGGGATGCCATAAATAAACTACACAGGATCACACTACACACCTACGCAATGATTACATTCAGGCACACTGTATAATACAACCTCTTTCGACAATTTATATACTTATTGAAAACAAGCTACAAAATGTAATACCTTGGAAAATGCCATTTAATAGCCTTAGTTTTCGCTATTTTCTACTTTTTAAGACCCCACGGACACCCTGGTTATTACTTAAAGTGAAAACATTAATCTGGAATAAGTCTCACCTCTTGTATTGCCTCTTTTGACAGGGCTCCTGGTAAGTCCTGTTTGTTGGCAAACACTAGCAGCGTTGCACCAGCTAACCTCTGCATGGATAGGACACAAAAATAGAGTAATATAATATTGATACAGAGGTTAAACAGCAACGTGGTTTTCAGCTACAAACTGCAAGAATAAAAAGACAGCTATTTACTGTCATGCCTCATAGTTTGGGGCTGTGCTTGCTAAAATGCTGACTCATTTCCAGGTTTTAGGACTCTTGCAGTTTCTTTTGAAACTGTTGTATGTGTGTTGGTCTGTACCTCCTCCAGCAGCAGTGAACTGAGCTCCTTTCTGCAGTCCTCCAGTCTGAGTCTGTCTGCGCTGTCCACCACCCACACCAGTCCATCTGTGCTCTCAAAGTAGTTCCTCCAGTAGGAGCGCAGCGACTTCTGTCCACCTACATCCCAAATATTCAGTTTAAACCTAGAAAACACAGAGAGAGGAAATTGTGATGTAGACTGGAGAAATACAGCCTGGTAATGTATCCTGTTCCTGTCTTGGAAACATATGTGAATGCTTAAAGTAAAAAGGTAAAGAAAATGCCTGGTACTTTGGGCAATTATCAGAATACATACAAACATGTTATCTTTCTTAAAAGTCAAAATCAAGAATGTTTTACTGTGCATATCTTTAATCTTAACTTTCATATATAACCACAAGTATGTAATAGTGATACAAACAGTTGTTATCATAGCATATCCTCCCAGTGTTTCAATAGCCACATCACCATGCTTTGGTATGCCATGCCATACATAGATTCAGTAAGTCCCAATTCATAGCATGGCGACACTTTTCTAAGGTCAGCTGCAGTATGTGCTTTAAGTCATGCAACTACGGTCTTTTCTTACAATTTAATAGTGAATATAGAGAAAAAGTGGTCCCATGTTCAGTTATTCCAGCATTTAATTAAATATGTACACATGTGAAAAACTGCCTATAGAGAGAAACCGTGCTGTATGTCAGGTGGAAAGTGCGTCATATGCTATAGCTTATTTATGATAAGGCCCACTGTGTGTGCGCATGGATGTGTGCGCGTGTTACCCTTTGTGTTCCAGTGTTTTGATGTTGAAGCCCAGCGTCGGGGAGATGGTGCTCACGTCTTCTCCATTAAACTTCTTCAGGATGGTCGTCTTCCCCGCGTTATCCAGACCTCTGCACGCACCAGGTTAAAGAAACAACCCTCTCACATACACCTCACTGTTAAATATTAATTTTAATGAATGAATGAATAGGACTTTAACTATCATTCACCCACATTTAGTTAACTTAACAGTGCTAGCAAGGTACCATGATACAGCACAAAATGCGCAAAACAAACCTCACAAACACACAACCGTTATCCTGTTGTATCACACACTGATATGATTTGCTGTCCACGATTTTAAGTTGTTGACACCAATAAAGTTAAAATATTCACGTTGCTATACATACATGTATGCTACCTTGTTCCCAGCTAAGCTAGTTACAGAAAGGATACAGCATCAGCAGCCTCATCTCCCGCTCCTTCTGCTTCATCTTCTTTAAAATCGTTAGTAAACCCATCGCGAAAGTATCCGCTCAACTGCAGATGTTATAGAAAACGATTTTTACTGATTTATAGCTTTGTATTCAATATATTTAGCATCCATACGCAGCATTGTCAACCAGGAAGAGGTTGTAGTTATGATCCTGTGCCACGCGGAGACTGATTGGTAGAACGCGTACATTGTTTGGTTGTTGCAGACGTTCCAAGCTTGTTGATTGGTCAGTGACCATTTTAAGGTGCGGCCTTGCAGTAGTTGCCGTTTGGCGCCACCGTGTGTCTCGCGTGGAATGACATGCAAAACAATATAAAACCTGTAACGCTTGTTTCAAAAATACATATTTTAAAGCTAACTTTTTAATTAAAAAAATAATAATAGAAGACGTTATCAATTTGCGATATAATTTGACAACTCTAATTACACTGATATAAATATTTCGTTTGTAGTGTCCTTGTATAACAGGTTTCACATTGTATTTCCTTGCTCAATATGTTTAGTCTAGAGATAGGGGTCCACGCGCACCCCTCGGAATTTGTTATGCCACCTGATTTTTCTTAATCCTTAAAGTGTCTACTTTCAGAATCTGCCAGGTGCCAAGCTGAAATAATGACCGAAAGGCTCCATTTTTAACTCTTTATTGCACCTAACCCAAAACCGAAACATTACAATTTGATGTAGCAAGAGGCATAACCTTTGAAGTAAACAACATACAGAGACAAATGAATACATTTTTCCATACAATTCTGACCCAAATTCAATGGAATGGTTATTTTTGACATTTGACAACATTTTGACTGTATTTCTGGACAAAAACAGCAAAAAAATGCAACAAATGTGTGTCTGACCAACTACTTTTTTATTTTTCAAACGCATAGAGTGAATATTTGTTGACAATCAGTTTTTTTTCAATCCTCCAAGTGTTTATTTTAAGATTATATTGGGTACCAAGCTGAAATAATGTGCCAAAGGCTAATTTTAACCCTGTATAGCACCAAACCCAAAAATCGAAAAATGAAAATATAATGTAGAAGAGGCATAACTTTTGAAATAGACAACTTACAGAGCGAAATTAATAAATTTTCCCACACAATTTTGATCCTAGGAATTCAATGGGATGGTTATTGTTGACATTTGACAACATTTTGACTGTATTTCTGGACAAAAACAGCAAGAAATGACCAAACATTTGTGTATGACCAACTACCTTTTCAACACATAGGGTGAATATATGTTCACAATCAGTTTTTCTCTAATCCTTTAAATGAAATGATTAAATAAAATCTTGTTGGGTTTATTTTTAACTCTTTATTGCACCAAAATCAAGCATGAAAGATTATGTAAAGTGTGATATAATTACAACTTAAACAATGAATACATTTACCTTTTCATGTCACTACCAACTTGCTGAACTACTCATCATCCTCATCGTCACTGAAGAGATCTTCTAATTCAATTTCTTCCATCTCCAGCTCTTCATCCTCATGCTCATACTCTCCATCCACTTCACCCACAGACAAGTTATTGTTGGCGTAATCGGTCACCTTGTCAAGAGCTGTGTGCTCTCTGAGCCAGTACCTCAAAAGAGAAGGAGGGAGGATGGGTCCAATTGCCCAGACCGGTTCCAACACCTCCTCTTCTCCTGTCTTCTCCCAGCCCATGCCTGGATCATGTGGTTTTGGGCTCTCGATTATTGCCTTGTCTGCTCTCTTATAGAAGGCGACTCTGTAGTTGGCTCGCTGGACATGTGGAATGAGACAGACCTTGGGGGGAGGCAGGCGTTCCAGGTCTACTTTTGACTTAGAGTCCAGGACTTTGTCAGCGCCGACCATCTTTCTCATCATTTTCACCCGTACTGTGTCAACTGATGTCATCCGTGCTTGGCCATACATAATGCATGTGAAGCTCTCCATCTCCTCTTGAAGCTCATCAGTGACCATCCAGTCTGCACCAAGCTGCCTGAAAGCTTTGTGGAGTTTAGGAGTCTTCTCCAGCTTCTTCAGGGGATTCACCTTGCCTTTGCCTTTAAAAGCGCTGGTACAGTCCTCCCCAGTAAAGACGTAGAATCCCAGCAGTGTGCTACAGTAGTCAGGGCCCAGTGATTCCGACAGTTCTGTCACATTTATCAGTGTGCAATGTTTGCCAGAGCCGTGGTCAAGGTAGATGGAGAGGTTGATCCTGCTGGCATGGTAGAGGAGGATCATCAGGATGTCTGTGTCAGGTGTCCTCACCACACTGGACTTGTACCCCCATTTGACAGCCTGGTGGAGGTACAGGACAATCCGGCTGTCTGTCTCCTCCTGGTTGGATCGCAGTTCATAGATCTCAGAAGTCTGGACCTGTAACAATCAAACAAAGTAAATGAATACTACTACATATTTTAACAAATGAACATTTTAAGTTATGCAGTTTTTATCGTATGTATTAAGAGCCCAATTATGGTCTGCAAAATTGCATGTGTGTGTCACGCTTTTTCTGTCAACGTACTTTTCCATTTGTTGATGTTAGGTCATTAGATCTTCCGTCAACACACACCACTGCTTTCATGCTCTTCTCAATCCGGGATGCTGCCTCATTGCTCCCCCAGACCCTGAGAAGCAGGTCACATAGCTACTTCTTGTTAAGCTCATTGCCAAGGAATGACTTAAAGTCATAGGGCCTCCGGGTGTTTGGACCATCAATTATGCGCTTCTCAGAAGAGCCACGTCTGAGCCTCTCCTGGGCTTTGATGGAATCTGGCTGGTAGCAATCTGGAGAGAACACAAAATGGTGCTTGGCAACCATTTGGTCCAGGAGCTGCATGCAAATCCCTCCGAAGGTCGGTGGGAGGTTGGACATCATGTGGAAGAGAGCGTTGCCATCCTGTATGAAGAGGGCATCATTGGGGTAAGGTACGTCTTCGTCCCTGTCCTGCAGCAGATGGTGAAGGATAGTGGCCTTGTTGGTTTTAGCAAAATAGCCATCCGGAGAGCCAAGGGCATGAGGAACAGGTGAGAGGGGATACCGCATGAGTTCCTCAAGGTTGATGGGCATCTCCATAATCTGCGACTTAACGAGCAGCTGAAAGGCGAAGTTGCTCTGCTCCTTGTACACAAAGAGCTGGAATGGAAAATAAGGAAATGAGGAAGGCATAAATACAACAGAGTTTTACGGTTTCATTCCTTTCTGAATAATGTTTTTGTGTAATGAAATATGCAAATGATATAAGTAAAATCAATATCCACCTTCCCCTGCGCAGATGTAAGTTTGACCCTCTTGCTGCAGTAATCCATTGTCTTGAGCGTAAGTTTCTTGAGGCGATCAAAGAAGTCTTTCCTCTTGGAAATGAAGCGCTCTTGGATGAACTGCTCCTTGGCAGCCCTGCCTGCAGCCTCGGCCCGCAGCACGTCAGCCTCAACCTCTAGATCGATGGGAGCTCCAGATGCGAGGGAGTACAGTCGACTTTTGTCTGGGATTCTCCAGGGGTTTGTGAAGCCATTGATGGCAGAGATGACGCTCTGCACCGCTAATTCAGACTTTTTGATTTGGGCAGGCTCCAGCTCACGGTGCTTGCCTGCTTTCGGCATCTCAGTGTCGTCAATCATGCCACACATCTCAAGAGTAAGCTCATAGAGCTGAGCGCGGGCAGAGGTTGTGCGGCACCATTTCTGGTATGCGCCACAGTTGTTGAAGAGACCTAGTAGACCACCTGCAATGTAGAGAGGGAGAAGTCTGAATTTTAGCGTCACAACCAACATGAACATGGAAATTAAATATAGGTGACTATGTTTGTGTCCACAAACTGACATACCTGAAGTCTTAGCAAACCTCATGAATGTCTCCACCATGGTCTTGTCCACTGCTGCGAGAGCCCCTGGGATCAATGATCGTGCAACAGCTATAGCTCCAAGCTTGATGTAATCAAGAGCACCAGGATGGGAGAGGTCGATGTGAGAAAGGCCTCAAACCAGGTAAGGTACCTGTAGGAAATTAATGACAATTAAAGTTTATTACAACAACTACAATAAGCTCCCACTTATTTTTATATTGAGTATTCAGGGAATGAGTGCATAGATTACCTGGCGTAGTTGTGGCCATCATACGCAAAGAAGAGATCTGCCATGGCGCCGTTGCAGTGATGGAACAGCTCGAAATTGTTGGTTTTCACAGCAAAATCCATCATAAAGACCAGCCTTGCATGATCCATCATGGAGAGCCAGAACATGCCCGTTTTGCCCAGGTGGCCCCTGCGTACCTTGTCTTGGTATTGGAGGTAGTCACCAATCAGCTTGAGCAGTGTGGGATCCTTCAGAGTGGAGTTGAGGCTCTCAGAAGTGCAAGAGTGGATGAGGTTGAAGAGGATCTCATATGGGATGTCTGGTTTCTCCTCCTCTAGAAAAACATTGAACAGCAACCGTTCGAGTGCCTCTGTGACCGCCTTCAGACTGAAGAGAGCCTTGGCATATGACTTCCCGCTCAGGATATTTTTCAGGCAACCACTGTTTGCGAGGCCAGCTTCTATGAGGATCTCGGCGTAGCCAGCTCCAAGACACTTGCGCCCAGTGAGTCTGCCCATGTAATTCATGGCTGTGTGGAACTTGCCAATGAGGTTCACATGCTTACTGAATACCTCCTCGTACTTCCATACTATAGGACAGGCTTTCATGGCGACTCCCAGGTCAAACGTGTTGGTGTATGGCTGTCCAACCTCCTCAGTTGCTGCCTCGGATCTCTTGAGTAGCTCATACACTACTGCGTTGTCTGTAATGGGCTGGTTGATGGGGGTGTAAAAGTCGATGGTAGATTTCCTAGGAGGCACTTTCCCCGTGCTTGAAATAAAACCACCAAATCCAGGCACTTGCTGCTTGCCCTGGCTCCTCAACCATCTGCTGAGGAGGTGGGTGTTGTACTGCAACATTGAGGCATTATATGACACTTGGTTCTCAGCAGGAGGGGTAAAGTTGGCATTCTTGGGGAATTTGGGGCCAACTCTTTTGAATGCCAACTCTTTTGAATGCCAGCTCTGGCAGCGTCTCGGGAGGCGTGATCTTAAGGCTTCTCATCTTGGATGACCTGTCATAGAGAGGAAGGGTCCTTTTCTTGGTGCTCACATGGCTCTCCTTCACTTCTTGAATCATGATTCCCCCGGCGCTGTTTACCACATTTGAACCATGAACGTTGGTGGTGATTCTGTTCAGGTTGTTCCACTCGCTGTGAAAAACAGTGTTTCCCTCGCCAGTGATGATTTGAGGAGTCAGGTTGGTGGACATCTCATCAAAAGCCTTCGCCATGGCTGTCTCAAGTTCCATACTGAAGTCATATGTCTCCGAGTGTCCTAGTCGTGAAAGGATGGTTATGAAACACATGTTTTTTTTTATCAATATCAAATACCTGTATGAAGCATAGTTGAGCAATGACAATGTAGGACCTCATAAACAATAAGTTAGCTGATCACTCACCTGTTTGCTTCGATAGAGGTGCCGAAGTGTGGCACACAGGAGGATGTGCTTTGGGAGTTTCCACTTGCTGTTAGTTGCTGCTCGACACACATCTTATGTAATCGAATAGACCAGCCTCTGCGTCTTCTCACACTTTTCTTCATCAAGTGTCCCAGTCACCACTGAGCTCAGAAATTGTACAAGATGCTCTGGGAGCAGTTCATCCATTTTCACAGCATCCAGCTCCTGTGCAGTTGGGGGCCATAGTAGCTCCTTTGACTCTTTGAATGCCTTTTTAATGTGAGAATTGAGGGTGAGTGCTGCTTCTTGTAGTTGATCAGATGTTCCAAGTTTGTACGCACATTTAACTGCTTCATCTACAGTAATGCTTGAGCTGTATATAAGGTTCAACTCAAGACAACCATGGTGTGGTACCTTTGAGAATGTGAGTTCACAAGATATGTCTTTGTCTCCTTGTAAACGTCTTGCCAATTTCTCACTGCGGTATTCAGGATTAGGAAAACCTTCACCTTCCAGTGTCTTCCTGTACAAGTTGCACATGGATCTTAGCTGGACGACTTCTTTGTGTTCAACCACATTCCTAAGAATGTAATCCTTTACTACACAATAGGACTTGTCATGTGCTGCCATTTTCCGGGCCTGCGGGCTGTCAATGTTGTCTGCTGCCTTTTTTCCTCTCTTCCTTCCACGCTCATGGTTTTGGTACTCATTGTTGAAGTTATTTCTGCATATTGGATGATACTGAGCTTCCATAGCAAAGAGGTCCTTGCCCTGCACCTTGCGATAAAGATCCTCTTTCTTCAATTCCTGTGCCCTAGGTTCGATAACTTTCCAGGCTGGTTCTTTGTGTTTCCAACTCTGAAACTTTTTTAGCTCTTCAGTCTTCCCCTTGAACTTGGTTGTTGTTTTGTCACAGAAGATACACTGATTTGGGAACAAGAAAGAACACCGAGCCCCTTCAGTTTGACTTGAGAGACATTTGGGATGGCGTAGGTGGGAGTCATTTATCGATGACGATGATGCACCAGATGTAGAAGCCTTTGACACTTTTAAACGATCCAATTTCCCTGTGAAGGTTTTGTAGCAGGTTTGATGATAGCCAGTTTTATCCAAAGGCAAGCCTTCTAACGTCAATGGTATTTGGTCACAAATTGAGGTGGCTGTTTCGCAGAGTCTCATATCATGAACACTGTGTAGATACGATAGCTTCTCGCTTGCCCCCCCCTTGCATTTGCCGAGCATGATAAAATTACCATACTCAGAAGTTGAGACATGTAAAATACATGTTATCGATCTAATCCTCTTTGGAGGCACTTCAGCTGTGTTACAATGTTTCCTTTTTCCCATTGTCAGCCGTTTATGAAGTAATCAGCCTGAATAAAGAAATTAGAAACATTAGATAGCTACCAACACTCTGAGGAGGACCAAATGATGAAGTATACAATGTTTCCTTTTTCCTATGGTTAGTAGGAGTAATCAAACTGAAAATAAAGAAAAACATTATCTAGCTACTAACTTAGCTAGCTACCAACACTATAGTCAAGAATACAAAGTTTTTTCCTTTTCCCTATTGTTAGTAGTGAGTAATCAGCCTGCAAATGCTGAAAAACATTAGCTAGCTATCAACTCAGCTAGCTACCAACTTAGCTAGCTACCAATTTAGCTAGCTACCAACACTACTTAGTCAAGATTACAGATGTGATTTCTGTATATCTTTTGTTGAAGAATTACTTGTATATGACTATTAGGTATATCTTAATAATAGTTAATAATAATTATTAATAATACTTACCAAGAAAATCCTTGAGATTGTTCCCAAAGAAAGCAGTGGGAGACTGCCATCTGCAGGTAGCCAGGTACCAGGTAACCAACGGCAACCAACTGTCAACCAACTACCGAGCCCCGGTCACCAACATCATCAGCTTGGTACCCAATATTATCCAAAAATAAACACTTAAAGTATTAGAAAAAAACTGATTGTGAACGAATATTCACTATGCACTTTAAAAAATGAAAAGGTAGTTGGTCATACACACATGTTTGGTCATTTCTTGCTGTTTTTGTCCAGAAATACAGTCAAAATGTTGTCAAATGTCAAAAATAACCATCCCATTGAATCCTAGGGTCAGAATTGTATGGAAAAATGTATTCATTTGTCTCTGTATGTTTACTTCAAAGGTTATGCCTCTTGCTACATCACATTTTAATGTTTCGGTTTTGGTTTAGGTGCAATAAAGGGTTACAAATTGAGCCTTTCGGACATTATTTCAGCTTCGCACCTGGCAGATTCTGAAAGTAGACACTTTAAGGATTAAGAAAAAACAGGTGGCATACAAAATTCCGAGGGGTGCGCGTGGACCCCTATTTCCATCTAGACTAGTTGCTTAACGGTAATAGTTTAGCAGTTAGAACTGGATTGTGTTCTTAACTTGAGGAAAGGCAGAGAGATTAAACAACTTTTAGGTGGCTGGGCATTGATCCCATGAGACTTTCTGTACATTTAAAAAAAAAAACAATGCAAAAGCTTTACATTTTTTTCCTAAAATGTTATTTTGTCAACATTTTATAATTTTCTTTTTAAAAATGTGTATTATTTATAATAACAGGCAAGTTACTATATCAGTTGTTATTTAGTTTTACAGGTTTCTAATAGCTATATCTTTTAAGAATTCAGATTAATGGTATATGTGATATTACATGATCTTTATGACATTTCCAATGTAAGCACTAAGTTCTTATTCTCCAAATGAACATAACTGTCACATACAAGTAGCCTATTAAGGATGTCAATATCAATTTTGTAAACCAATAAGTATAAAATGTAAAACCTTTTTATGTGGGCTATGTTTTCCTTTTCCTTTCTTAAGAAGATATTAAGCCAAAGAGTTACATCCTATATTACATCACATCCTGCAGAAAAGCGGTAAAACAACCGGTTGGATATATTCCGGGGGCTTGGCATTTAATTTCCTGGCAAAAACGATTGAGAAATCCCCCGCACGAGAAGGAGGAGCATCCTTCATCTTTATATGGTCATTCTCGACCTCTTCCGGTGTACCCAACACATTTTCCCATTTATTATGATGCGTTCGTGTGCCACAGAAAATATTAGGCAAGACAACGCACTGAACGCAGCTGTGCGATGCTTATGGAAAATGTACTTATATGGCACTCAAAAGTTAGCCTACATTAGCTAGTTGCAGAAAACAGTCAATCAAATAGATTAAGGGGAGATTTGTCAAAATATGGATTATTGAAACATCAACATCAGTGACATACAATATGTTCATATTTTCAGTTCGCTGTTTTTTCTTCGTATTGCCACCTAAACATCCGGTTTCTGTCACTGAGTCTATACAAAAAGCTTGATACAGACTTGAACCGTGAAACTAACATGCGACACGTGAATGCAGCACCCTCCCTGCAGCACCTTCTTGCAATGGGTCAGTTTAAAATAAAGTGAAACTGAAACAGAATCAGGATCACCATGTTGCATCATCAGCCGTCTGGTGCCAAACCTCATGCGCTTTAAAGCATCGGTGCGCTTCACTCCGGGACACATTTACAGAAGCAACAAGTCATCAAGCATCATTAACAAATCAAGCAGGTTTACAGGTTTAGCATCCTCCTTCATTCAGAGTCCTTAAAACTACTCCAAGCTGCTGCTGCGCGCTAGTTTTCTCAACAGCTTCAGGGTTTGAATGCTCGGAGGATCATGGCTCGGTGAATCCTGCAAACCGAGGAAAAGACATGTCCCCGTTATTCATGGAGACCGGGTACGATCTGTCCAGCCCCGGCTCGGTGTCAGCTGGAGAGAGCAACACCCCTGGATCTGTGAGTACTTCTCAATCAATCAAGCATCAGATCATCTAATACCAACTATTATTGCGTTACTTGTGCGAGGAGTTTCATATATCCAAATATAGATAGGTTATTTTTCATTTGAGTAAAAGTCATGTGAATGAATTAAATAGCCAATAATAAGATAAAATATTGATTACATAAATCTTATTTTACTTGCATTTCTTGTTTTGGTCTATTTTAAAGCACATTCTAACTTATTTTGGAGTGCAGCAGCTCAGATACAGCGTAAGTCCCTGTGACTATTAGTCCTAGTCACATTTCCCATCAAGAATGGGTTATTAACCGGGGGGTTACCTGGTCGAGACGACACCATGCTGTGGAAGTCCCAGGGGGACTGCACATCATCCCCCCCCCCTGCCAAAAATACTTTAAATAGAATCAGCCAGTCACCTGAAAATAATCCGGAAACACTTATTAACACAAGCGTTTCTTTTAAGAATGTGGTGCTTTAGAAGCCTGGCCAGCAGCTGTGCAAACATAGAAGAATATAGAGAAAAAGTGCACATAATAGCAAAACAAATGTATTTAACAAGAGGTTTAAGTTGTTTAGAGTGATGCATTTCCAATTTGACATTAGCTCATTTTCATTTTGAGTTTATTGCACTTGACAACCTCCTATTAAGTTAAGATAAGATAGGACTTTATCTATCCCGAAGGAAACTGTTGTGCCAGAGTTACAATGATTCAATAAACACAGCAGTATAATAATACAACTGTACACTAACAGTTTAGTAAAAAGAGCAATTAAATAACTACACGAATCATACACGTATGACGAGCAGTATTGAGTAGTGCAAGAAAACGTAGTGGCAGATACGTAATTTATTATGAATAAACCAGTCCTTTTTAGAGGTATAACTAGTGCATACCGTTCCATTTTGGGTTCATTTGATGAAGAAAACTGAAGACGAGCACAGTGCTGGGAGAATGTAGCTTTGAGAGCTTCATTTGTTTTATAGACAAACTTACGTCTACACTTCATTGGTTGCCCTTTAAAGGACCTTGTCTTTTTATCTCTGCATTGCTCATGAATTAAACGTCACGCACTCCAACCCAAAAACGTCCTGCTTTATTTAAGAAATCATGTGAAATTTCATGTGATGGGTTTGACTTGTGACTTTATGACCTTTTGAACTATTCAATCTTTCAGAAAGCTAAAAATGCTTGTTTGAGGAAATTCCTTAAAAGACGGAAGGGGATTGTGCAAGACTAGAATGTACTTTAAATACACACAGTGTCAGCGTATACTGTAGACAGAGTATCCTAGATGTGTGTGATTTACTGTGTGCTGCATTTATTTTTAAAGGAGAGAGAAGGAGTGAGAGGAAAAAGAGGGAGAAAAACAGAAAACAACAGAGACTCTGCGAGGAAGAGCCGGAGAAAACAAACGGAGAGAGCGGACGAACTTCATGAGGTTCGAAACAATCATTCCTAACGTTCCTTCCCTCCTTCCTTAGACTTCTGTCACACACACACACACACACACACACACACACACACACACACACACACACACACACACACACACACACACACACACACACACACACACACACACACACACACACACACACACACACACACACACACACACACACACACACACACACCGGCTGTGTGACTTGTGGTGTGTGTGTCTTGTGTAATCCCAGAGCATGCTGGAGCCATTTCTTGTAAATACTCTGCTTTAGAAGAAAGGCTTTCACTCCCACTGGTGCTCCCTCCCTATTGGCCCTGCCTTTCCTCTCTGCCGGAGACGCGCGCACACACACACACACACACACACACACACACACACACACACACACACACACACACACACACACACACACACACACACACACACACACACACACACACACACACACACACACACACACACACACACACACGCACTTTTCCTGAGGGGCAAATTCCACAGGTTGTGCTACAGAGACTTTCGGTTTGGATTTGAAGAAGCAATAGGGGTCCTGACACTTTGTAAAGTACACTGTTGCAAACTCTTTCTAGATGTGGTTCTTAGAAAATAAGTCATGACTACAACACATGTTTTTAGCCCTCTGAAACATCATATATGATGCATGTTTTAAGGTTTTGTCATGGAGCTAGGGTTAGGGGTTGATATAAGAATCTAATGTCTTTATGTTACCTTTTTGCATACTCATTTTGTTTTTTTAAGCACATGAGAACATCCTGGTTTCTTTCTCAATGTATATGACTTACGCTTACAAGCTGATTTTCATATATTTTTCACATGATTGATTACTTTCAGGCCATGAATACATCTCAAAACACACACCCATAAAGTGTGTTATATGACTCTCATTTTGACGATATGAAATCCTCACATGCACACGCCGTACCTAACCGCCTGGTTGGGGGAGTTTCTCTTTGACATTACTTCCAGTTGGCATGATTTTCCACTCAACTGTTTTTATCTGGTTGGATCAGGGTGCCTACCAAATGTATGAATGGCTGTGTGTGTGTGTGTATTTTATGTGGCAGGAGTCCATACTTTATCTTTCTTTCTGCATGTCTTCAAGGTTAATTGTGAAGAAGCATCATTGCCACAAACCAGTATTATTCTCGTCAACTAAAGAGGTTTAAAGTGTCAGCGCATGTGATTCACTACTACTGCTGTGACCATGAGTGTACTGTAGGTATTATCCTTGAGGGAAACACTATTCTTCAGAGTGTAATTCAAGTCTGCATTTGGACTTATTGATGCTCATTGGACATGAATGCTGGCTGTTTTCCGGCTGCACTGACCCAATGAGGCCATAAAACAAAAGTGGGAATTTATTTGATTGATATTTCAGGAAAAAACTATTCTACAAAGTATAAATAAAAGCAGGTTTATTTTTCAGGGATGTTAGCTTGAATTTGACTCGGGGAGCAGGGGACTTTGTTTTGTCCCTCCATTACCTACTATCTCCTTTTATACTAAAATTGCAGTTCTGTCAATGAAAGATATTGTTCAGTTCTCCTTCTGAGTTCCACTTTAGAAGGAGGTTTTTTTTTAATGCAGCAGTCAGGAGAAGTCTTAAAGAAGAGTACCTAAACGTACCTTGGTGAAATTCACAAGCTACCCTCAGAGTATGGATACAAAAGCTCCACCTTTACCACCTGCCACATTCACTCCTAATTTTGATCATATGTTTTGATGCTAACACTTTTATACTTTACACCCCTGTGCAATATGTGCAATCGCCTTGAATGCAATCCTTTAGTTTTTTCTTGAATGCTTATCTTTACCCCTTTTGTGTTGCTTCCTAATATTTATCTTTTAAATGTACCTTTTTAATGTTTGTCTTTAACATAGCTTAAGCATTTTACACAATTGTACTGGATTGATATCAAACAAAGGAAGTCAAATTCCCTGGTATTTCTTCCACCACAGTCTCAGCATAACATTAACTCTTTGCCATTTCTGTCCCTCTTCTCTCCTCTCTTTTTCTAACCCTCTTATCTCTTTCCTCCCCTCCGCTCTTCTTCTCAGGAGCATCAGAGTCTGGAGAGATCAAACTCAGCCCTGAAAAAGGACATTGCCGCATTGAAGAAAGACCTCAACCTCTATACAACGGCTCTGGAGTGCCACAAGCCTTGCTTCCTCAAAGACTCCTTATCCGGCTCCTCGACTCACCTCTCAGTTCCCCCCTCAGCCGCCTGTGAAAGCAAACAACTCTCCTCTTCAACTCCTCGTCCCAAAACCTCAACATTAGCCTCACCTAGTGGCTCGGCTACTGAACTCTTCAGCTCTGTATCGGCTCCTTACGCTGCCTCTTTCTCTGCAGTCCCTGCTCCTCACTCTTTGTTTTACGAGGTTCCTCCTCCTATAATCGCATCAAGGCTGCCAAAAAATGCTCCTCCTGTGTGCACCAGCCTTGTTTTCAACCCCTCTAGCTCCCTCTCTGCACCCACTCAAACTAAATTTGAGCAAGCAAACATCCATAAAAGCTTAGCAAATGCTAGTTTCTCAATGAATGCATTTCTAATGAAACAAGCTACTTTTCTAACCCCTTCATCTAATGTAAACTCCCATTTAGTGGCAGGAAAAGCAGTGCAAGGCAGTCCCATGAATGTGCGCCAGCTTCATACAGAACAATTGAGCAGAAATTCCACTCTGCCGTGTTCTCTTTTACCGCATATTCTTCAAGAACCTGCTCTTAAGTCCCTCTCAGAGCCGCCCCCTGCCTCAGCTTTTGCCTTAAAGCCGAGAAATAGTCGACAACTGACCCTCAATCCTGCGTCTCTGCTTTCCCGGCTCACCGTCCCGAGCCCCCTCTACGTGCCTCCGACTACCTCCAGCAGCTTTGAAATACCTCCGCCCCCACCCTCGCTGCCACCACTGGGGGATCCCCCGAGAGATTTCTCTCTCTCTGAGCTCCTGGAGGGCAATGAGTGGATTCTAAGCGGGACTAGTCATCAGTGCCAAGGCATGCCACAATGTGAAAACATGCTCTTTTAATTTATATGTTTTTAGTAATGTATTTAAACACTGCGAACACCTGCAGTTTGTGTAATGTAGACTCTCTGTTATAAAAGTGGAGCAGAGATAACCGTAATTATGTTATTGTAGCATTATCAGGGGGTTTTTCACACCAAAAAATATGAATTTGTGAAATTCTGCCTTTTTTTATGATCCAGCTGAGTTTTCAGAGAATGGATTCGTTTTTTACTCCTCTGCTTCAGTTTCCTAAAACTCTACATAAGCAACAACTCAATGAATGTGCCCCTTTTCCATAGTTTTACAAGCCCCTTGAGACGAAACCATGCAATAACATCAAGTATAGTTTTTCAGTTTCTAATTAAGTCAGGTAGGTGAGTGTTTTATCCCTTCCTTAATCAAGAGACAAGACACAGCCAAAATGATTCAACATTCAAACCCTGACTTTTTATTGCTAATTGGGCGGTGTACTCACTTCCCTGCAAATTCTAGGAAAATCTGTGACAGGAGCTGAATGTGTGGACATCGATGTTCCAAAGTAAACTACACAGCCCTGCCCTGGCGAGTATGGTAGTTTCATAACGGCAGGAAACGTTCTTCTAATTTGTTTTCAACTATTCTAAAATACACATCATACACTTTTCACACATTTCTACTGATCATTTACTCAATTAGCTGAGCCTTTTTAAAGCTATCACTATTTATTTTTCTACATTTTAGATGATAAAAATCTCTTCTTCATTTTAGAATAATATAAATGCATTATTTGTACTTCCTGGCTGTAAGTGTGCTACTTTATGACTAATTTTTAATTTGTCTCTTTTATCTACTTTGTGATTACCAGACAAATAGGCCACTGCCCAGGGCCCCAAACCCTCAGGGGCCCCAGATTGTGTGTGTCTGCAGCCTGTCGATGTGTGGTGATTTGATTAATTTCTAATAGTTAACGGTTTGGTTATCTATATTATTTATTTGATTTATCTACAAGTATCTAAATGAATATGTGCATTACTAAATAACCTCAGACAGTCTTAAAGGGCCAGCAGCTCTTTTTTTGCCGGGGCTCCCTATTGGTGAAACATGGGAATGATTACATAGGCAATTTATATGATGACAGTTAGGAAATATATAGACATATGAATCATGATTGTATGAAAATGACGATTTTGTTTTTCAAATGATGATTTATGTGGCAGAATATTCAGCTTTATATCTGTAGGTATAAGGGATATAGATGCATGTGCACGCTCCACATAGAAGTGTATGTGTGAATTATGACTTTTTTGTATTTACCGTGCAAAATATGTGTAATGTGTATTTGTAAAGCGCTTTGAGCATCTGGAAAAGCGCTTTAATAAATGTAAGGAATTATTATTAGAGCAATATATTTATCCTTCAATACTGGTTGTAATACAAAAGTTAGTTGCGAATAAAACATCTTTATTGAAAAATGTATTGTGTAGTTTTGCTAAGTTTACAAGAATGTTTTGATTCAAATGATATCCATGGACAGTTGAATTAATAAGCTATTAATTTGCTAACTTAAGATGTTATATAACCAACTTTGGGAACCTTTTCTACTCTCTATGCAACTTGTACACCTTTATTTCTGCATTCAAATATGTGTTATGTGGCCATAAGTTAATTGTTTGACACGAGTTGCATAGTATAAGTTTAATAGGACATCAATAGATTGTGTTGGACAGGAATTGTTTAGCCCTGCTAGTGGGGTGCCTTGAAGGATGTTGTTGTTCTGTGTATTTCAGCTTGAATACCTCAGCACCTTCTGGATGCATTTAGTCATGATATTTCGTACATATATTCATGGTCCCCAGAGATGATCCCTTGACTTTTCTCAGTGAAGTGCTCAGGTTGGCTTTATTTGTGTTTAAAAACGCATATCTTTTCCGGGGCCTCCTTTAAAGGTCCCATGTCATGGCCATTTCTACTGATCATAATTCAATTGTTGAGGTCTACTAGAATAGATTTATATTGTGCAATTTTCCAAACTCACATTGGTTTCTCATACAGCATCTCTGTATAGTATGTGTATTCACTCTCTGTCCTAAATGGCTTGTTGGAGCTCCTGCCCCTCCCTCCCTGTGAGCCCAGTGGCCGTCTGCGAGACAGCAAGACACAGCGAAACTCAGCCTGGGCACACACACACCCGCAGCCTGGCTCGGAGTTTGGGTGTGAGCTCAGGCTGAGTTCCGCGGTGTCTCGCTGTCTCGCCGACCCCACACCAGTGAGCCAGCTCACACTGTCACGCTCCTCGCATCAGCGAGCCTCGCAACGTCCCGCCGAGTGTGTGTGTGAGGAAGTCCGCGGATTGGTCCAAACCATAGACGGTCCAAACGTAACGGTTCCGCGGACGTTATGTTACGTCACTATACCCAAATACGTCACTATACCCAAGAAATAAACAATGGAAAAAGAGAAATCTCCAACGAGGCGTTCTGGGGCAGCATAGACAGGTCTTTTCTGTGTTAGAGTTTTACTCGCTACAGGGTGTACTTTGAGGGTTTGTGACTCTGCAGACCGTTTACATGCAGAAAAAGCTACATAACACACAAGGGGATGGGTAATAACCAGAAAAGCATGACATGGGACCATTACTATCCATTTGATGGATTTATCTGACATTTGGTGCATACAGTATAGGCTACATGAGTTACTGTAATAACTTTGGTGATGCTTCTTCTCGAGAACCATGTAATCTGTTATATGACAGAAAAAAAGCTACTGACTTTTTTCTGTGTTTTGTGCTCATTAGAATGTTAGCACACTAACACCTACCTACACTAATGTCCAGCATGTTAGCATTAGCGTAGCATGTTTTTAGCATTATTCTCAAAGCACTGCCATTGTTTACTCTTATTTATAGATTTTATAGTGGATATTATCAGCATTTAGGCAAATGTTAGCAGATTGGATATAACATTTGATATATTTGCACACAGTTAGAGCACAGTGCAATAATAAAGCTCTGTTAACAGTGTTTCTAAATGTCAGTGCAGTATTAACAGCCAGAAGAGAGATGCAGACGAGCAGCCTCTTACCGGACAGCCGGTCCCCCCGGTATTTTCCCAAGAGGCAACCGGCTGAGCTCATCTGCGACAGAGCACAGAGGAGGAGGGGCGCGGAGGCGCGTGGTATTACGCACGCCCTTGTACTGAATATAATATTATACGGCTGGAGTGTGTTTATGGTGTGAAGAGCAGGCTCAAGGCTGGCTTCAAACCTTTATATCTATGCTTCAAACACACACTATCACACACAAACACACACTAGCAGCCAAGGTGTGACCGGGGGGGGGGGGGGGGGGGGGGGGGGGGGGGGGGGGGGGTGATTACTCTTTTGAATTTTTGAGAGAGCGCGCGCGTGTCTGTGAATGAGGGCACAAGTGGCTTAGTGTAGACAATAGATGGGACTTGATCCTCAAAGTCCACTACAACCCCCGCGAACACACGCTCACCTCAAATAGGAAGCGAGGAAAGGGAGGGATGGGGGAGTCAGACAGAAACACCGAGGAGCGTCTCACCGGTGAAGCAGGAAATATTTCATAACAGGGTGATATCGCAGCCAGAGGTTTGGCAGAGGTGATGCTTTATACAGTCTATTGGTGATGCAGTGACAGCAGAGGATCACTAATGACGTATCTGTTTACAATTAAACGCGTTTAAATGGCAAAGCCAGGGCACATAAATAAAAACAAATAAATAAATAACTCCATCCTATAGCGTCATCCGCATTGAGGAGCCTCGTTCCTCTCTCTCCTTGCACCACCTTTAGGCTGAGGAACCAACGGCAATAGTCAGAGGGAGATACCCGAGCATCCGGTTAAAGCTTTCAAAATAAAAGCTTTATATTGCAAACAAAAACATATTTTTTGGAAGTTAATAGGTTATGCATGGAAGTCCTTGGTGTGCTTGAGAAACCTCCACTGTTATGCCCTCTGTGTTGAATGATTGAATGCAATTGGATGCAAGATCGTCCTTTAAAATATTGAGATCAGCATTGTGATGCATCTTGCTGTATTTTGGTAGAGAAAATCTAACAGAAATCCATGTCATTCAATGCTGGATTACCCATTGGGCAATCCAGACAACATCCACAGTGGCCCCAATAGACCCCCAGAAGCCCATTCATTGTACAGCAATTGGTACGTTTTGTTTGTTGTCAGTTTCTTTGGGCAATATTAGAGTTGCTAAAGCAATCCACTCCTCAAAGCTTAAACATTAATGTTGTTAGCTGATTTTAAAGTGTTTTAATAGGGCCATGTAGCAAAATACTATTAATGTATTATCTATTTTACAAACTGTTAACACCTCCTTTTACATATTTACTAATATTTACTATGCATACACATTTACATTTCTGTTTACAGATTTTAGGTACAAACAGTTACATTTGTTTGTTAACTTGCAATACCTTATACTATTTCACTTCTAAATATGTTTTCATTATTTTACACAGAATATGTATGTATTTAATTTACCTTGCACTTTTTATATGTCCTATATTCCTATTTTGCTTTACTTAAAACATATCTTTTTTTTTATACATGGTTGTGGGAAGCCTGAGATCCAACATTTTGACTGCTTCTCTGTTATTGTTGTGCATATAACAATATTTTATTTTCTATTAGTTTAAATGTACCATGCAAATCTGAGTTGATGTATATATGTCTTAAATACCACATGTAATGCAGAGGAAGAAGAGCAGGGTTTATTTTTGCCTCCTGCTATGACTCAACTCCTAGAAACCAACACACACTTTTTAGTTTCTTTATCTTGTCTTATTTTGAAAGTCATGACGCCTAATTTCCTGTGTGTCTCTGACTCACTGCGTGCTTCTTGACGCAGCTCGCTGAGGCGCTGTAGGACGACCGGATAACGGGACCGAGAAGGGGGACAGGAGCAAAACGCCTCAGTCTGACAGACCTAGACGGGGTGCTATTGTATAACTCTGGCCTTCGGTCTTTTTAACTCAAGGCTTCCAGGAGGAGCGGCTGCTTTCTGTCTATTTCTCCCCTATTTTCTTCCCCTCTCCCCGCGGAGGTAGAGCCGGAGCAGCAGCGGGGCTCGGTGTTGCATCGGCCGCTGGCGGAGGACCTGCACATGTCGGCGCGGTGAGGGAGCGTTTGTTTCCCCGCCCTGATACAGGAGGAGGAGGTTGTGTGGAAGAGGTTTAAACCGCAACATTATCCACCTCTGTGAGACAAAACAAATAAAAACACACAGCAGGTGCGGCCGCTGTAACGGTCGAAAGAGGATCCGTTGAAACGAGCGAGAAGGACAACAGTGATGCGGCAGCCGAGGTGGGCCCAGATTGATGATTTTATGATATCATCATCCACCGCCAGGACCGATCACTGATTGTATTGATAAGGAGCATCATCGAGGAGATTCAGCTATAAACTGACCCGGGGTCCGTTTGTTTGTTTTTGATCTGGATAAACAGGCAAGGTGCTTGATACAGTGATTTCTCAACAACAGGAGCTCAGTTAAAGAAATACATATCCGAATTTAGGCCCATGACTTAGTCTGTGTGTGACGCCAATACAGCAGCAGAGAGGCGTGTGTGAGGGGAGGCGCGCCTGTCTGAGCATCATCTGGTAGCTGCACGGGCTACTCCTCCACGGGGATGATACACAAGCGATTTTACATCTGTGTGTGAAAAACCGAAGAATCAGGGATGATGCTGCTGCCGTTTCCAGTGCGGCTCTGATAGACAGCGAGGCGCGCAGCACGGGACTGGACATCCAGACAATCTCTCTCCTCACCTCTCCTCCGCCTCTGCACCTTCTCCCCCTGTATCTCTCCCCCCCTCTCCTCCTCCTTCCTTGAGCTTTTATCATTCTGATCAATTGATTATCCATCTGTGATTCAGATAGCCATCCACTCCTCACTTCTTTCACCCTTTCTCAAGCGTCCCCCTTTACGCACACACACCAAGGCGCACAGGCCGCCGTCTACAGCCATCATGGAGACAACCAAGCTGCCTCCTTCCAGCCCGTCCTCGCCGACCACCAGCTTCTCGGTGCCGTCCGCGGAGAAGGTGGATGGTTTCCCGCGGAGGTCGATGCGCAGAGCCCGGCAGAGGAGGTCCCACAGCTCCTCCCAGTTCCGGTACCAGAGCTCCCAGGTGGAGCTCACCCCGCTGCCCCTGCTCAAAGGTGAGACACTCTCCACCAGCAACCATGGGTCAATATGTCATAGTGATAGGCCCCCAACAAGGTCACCATACACTCACTGATTCCACTATCTTCATTGTTTAAACACCTTTACACTAAAGTGAAAGGCACCTCCTTGGGAGAAAGTGTGATGTATTGCTTTTTTTTATTGATAGGTGTCCACTACATATTGTCCTTGTCCTGTCCATCTGGCAGAGGTGATGGCTTTTATTTATTGCCTGATAAGATCCAATCCTGTTCTGGGTTCTTTTAAAGGCCGGTTGCTGGAATATTCTCTTTTAGGGCTCAAACTAATCATTATTTTCATGCATAATTATTACAAAATTATCACAATTACAAAAAAAGTGAAAGAAGTCCACCCCAGTTCCCCAAAGTCCAAGGTGATGTCTTCAGATATATTGTTTGTCTGCCCAACCCAAAATAATTTCAATTACAATGATTCAAAAAACATTAAAACCTGTATTTGACAATATACCCAAATTGTTAACTGTTTTAAATTAGTCTACTACAAATTTCTTGGTCAAGGTTTTATTCTAAATGAATTATTTGCTATAAACTTTTGAGCACATCTCCGGTAAACACAAGACTTAAAGTGGTTATTTTGCATTAATCGTTGAGGAGAACATCAGTTTAAAATCTTTCAATTAAATCAACTCAGATCTGTCGATTGACAATTTCTTTAGTCATTTAATGAATCAATGTCTGTCCATTTTCATATTTAGTGAGGATTTAATTACTGCTGAGGTCGAGATCAAATTGTATAAAACTAGGAAATTATAGAAGGGACAAGAAATGAGTGATTCTTCCAATTTTCCTCATTTTTAGAAATAACTACCTCTTTGAGCACCAGGAAAAGCGATATATTAATACCATGTATTATTATTATTATTCTAAATCATCGATTACAACTTTGCATTGTGATCTGGTTGAATATGAAAGTTAGTGTGTTCATTTATAAAAAACATGCTTCAAACTGTGCCAGTTTAAGTTGACATCAAGTTCTGCAGAGTCACTAACAGACTCATTGAAACACCAACCATCAGCCTGTCTCTGGCTGGTTGATGTGGAAGTTGTAGAAGCATCTCCCCATTTGACGAGTTTCTCTATGACAGACCATTGCTGCCTCTATTAGACAAACCTCAAACTAAATACAAAATAATCAAGGAAATATACTTTAAGAAATTGAGGCTATAAGATATTTCACACGGTATTCTGCAGGTGTGCCATTGCTGAGCTGCTGTTACACATAATCCACTTTGATCTGTATTCAATAACCTCTCTGAATGAGGGCAAGGCTTTCAGTTTCAAATATACCTTAGTGCTGTCTGCATTTCTTATAAATCTACCTGCTAGATTTGAACATAGATAAGAACAGAAGTAAATCACAGAAAAGTAGGAGGTGTAAAATGCAACAATTTTAGTAGTCAAAATATAGGGCTATTTATTTACCAAAAATACAACGAGTTTCCTTTTCCAGCTGCTAACATTTGAGGATTTGCTGGTTTGTCCCTGTTGATTGTGGTTTAAAACTATAATATCTTTGGGTTTCTGTATGGTTGTTCGACAACACAAGACATTTCATTCAAGATGTCATCTGGACTCTGGGCACTTGGGTTGTGCAATTTTCACCCTTTTCTGACCTTTTAAGACACTAAATTATTAATCAAACAAAAAGAGAATGACAGCTGAATCCATAATCCAAAGTAGAAGGGCACTCGGTGAGCACAGACCTCCACCAAGGCCCAGTGCATCTCGCAATGTTAACGAAAGTAGAAAATACTTTGTTTATCTACCCTGTAATTGGGATTTGTTCCAGAGCTTTTCCTTGTTCCCATGATGGTCAGTTTTCTTAACGTAAAAGGTATATTTTGTAAAAGTTAGTTCCACCTCTGGAGGAATGTGCTTCTGTTTGTTGGGTTGTGGACAAAGTACTCAGATCTTAATTAAGTAAAAGTAGTAATACCGCAGTCTAGAAAAAGTCTGTTACAAGTAAAAGTCCTGCTGCAACAAGTATTAGCATCGAAATTGAAATACAAAAGTACTCATTCTGCTCCTCTCAAGAATATATATAACATTATTAAATGATGATTATTGATGCACTTTAATGTTGCAGCGGGTGAAGAAGGAGGTTATCTTTAAGTCGAGTAGAAGTATAAAGCGGCAGGAGATGGAAATACTCAAGTGTAATATAAATATTTCAAAGTGCAGTACTAAAGTTACTTAGATACTCAACTTTTGATCATTCTCTCGATTTAACCCTTAAAACACATTTTCTTGCTAGTGTTTAGACATTGTTTACACAGAGAAATCAATATTTTTGTACCTTCTTCTTATGGTTCACACAGCAAACAAGACATGCCTTCCCCATGTCTATTATGCTCTCTGTTGTATTGCTATATATTTCTTTACGCCTTCTATCCGTCTCTTTCTTTGTGACCCGTGGGCCTTACATTGTGAGTCTTCACACATGCCTCTTTAAAAGGTTACTCCCTCTTTCATGTAGCCTACAATCTCGTCCCATTAACCCTCCATGAATAGGAGACCTTTCTGCTTTTAGAGATGGTACGAGGTGCGTGTATGTGTCTTTACACCTCATTTCACTGGCTTCCACTTCCTGTGAGGCGCGTGATCGAGGGGCGTGTGCAGCATGATGATGGAGGGTTTTCATTGCATCTTTACAGCACCTTTGCTTCCGACCTCTCTGTGGATGGATAGAAGTCCCAGTTATCACATGGCTGCTGCACCGCTGCGGCACTGATTCTGGATCCCCCAGAGAAGCTGGTAGTAAGATCCTGCAGCACGGAGCAGGAGAAAAGCCTGCTGAGGGGAAGTCTGCAACGGGCAGTATGTAGGCCAAGTGTAGGCAGACTTGTGGGTGTTTTACCCTCCAGGGAATCCCTTTCCCATCGTTAATTTGAACTGCTCCTCCTGTTAGCATCGGCAGATCTCTTTCACTTTCAGCCCTGAGCAAAGCTTCTGTCTTGATTGCATCTTCCGGCTGAATATGAAAAATAAAAGTTATAAGAAGGAAAAAGATTCAAAAAAGGTAAATGTGGAAAATGACATATTCATCACTTTAAAACTTTCAAAAAAGAGCCACTAGTGATAAGCATTGCCTTTTTATGTACAATTATAGTTGTGTGATGTTGTATTATTGAAAAATACGCAACAACATTAACATTTTCACCACAGTAACAATGCTTTGACAGAAGGAAAAGCATACAAATACAAACAGTAAACACCAAGTTTTAAATGTGAGTCTCAGAAAAAGCAAGAACTCTATATTTTGGACCAATTTTCAACAGTCACAACAGGAGGGAATCCATCAGAGAAGAGGCAGACATACTGATTCCTTGCCTCAATCGATCCAAATGCAATGCAGTCACAGCCTGCATCTCTGCAGATCTGTCATCAGTAGTGTGTGAAATATATTACCCAGAAAATGTGTTGTTTTCTGCAAACTTACTAAAGAAAAATGTAGGGAGTTCTGTATACGCAGTCTGGTATCATGTAAACATTTATTATATTTGATCTGGCTGTTGTGTTTATATTGCATCATCACCCCAATGATGTTCTGTTTTGGTTGTATAGCTGTTGCTGTTAAATTGCTTCTTCTTTGTGTGCAGTAAGCGGGAGAGCAGACTGATTTTTGTTTGCTGTACAGAATGTTGTTTTTGAAAGGCTTAACGCCAACTAATATGGATTGAAGCAGAATATTTAGTTGGATAAAAACATTTAGCAATATGTACATTTTAGCTACACTTTTCATCATTGTCAGCTACATATGAGTTATCCGTAGTAGTGTTTAATACAACAAAACAAGGAACAGACACTTCAGCAGTATGAGTACACGAGGCAGGTTTATAGAAGTTTGGCAGAACAAAAAACATGTCAATTAATTAGTCATCACCTCTCAAAATGCAGCTTGAACACTAAACCGAACAATAAAAGAGCAGGAGCGACGGTCAAAGCAGCCAATTAAACGGACAAAAAGGGTGAAGGAGAAAGGGTCCATTTAATCCCTTTTACAGTGTTCTCATGTTGGCCACAGGCCTGCAGCAAACACATGCATCCCTTTCTGTACACTGTGTTCTTGGACCAGTGCTGTACTGCAGTGGAGAGTTTATACAGTTTATATAATGGATATATTTGGAAATACTTGTTTTATACACAGAATTCTTAAGTTTTTCCTTCAAGGTCTTTTTCATAAAAACAGCCCCAAATCTAGTTAAAGCCAACCCTACCTCGTCTTTCAGTTGGCGTTTTGTGTTGTTAACTCTCAACAAATTGATCATTCCCTTTACCGCCATTAGCAGTCGCTCTGTTTTAAGTGTTTTTCCCTGTTTTTCCTCTGTCTAAATATTTTAAATTTCTAAATGGAGCTTTAATGTAAGTGCTGCTGAATGTTTTTAGACAGGGCCCCAAAAGAGATGATGATTGAGTCACACTGAGGCACGATAAACTTCTCTGGATCAGAGGCAAATTAAAAAGTTCAGTGTCACAGTTACAAAACCACCAGATCTGTATGTCTGTCTGTTCAGCAAGTTAGCGAGTTAGCTAAACAACAAGTTAGCTAAACAACAAGTTAGCTTAACGGCGAGTTAGCTAAACAGCAAGTTAGCTAAACAGCAAGTTAGCTAAACAGCGAGTTAGCTAAACAACAAGTTAGCTAAAGATCAATTTAGCTTTAAAGCAATTTAGTAAAAAAACAACAACCTTAGTTTAAGACTGTTAGACTAGAGTACTGTTAAAGGTGGGGTAGGTAATTCACTTCAGAAACACTTTTTGTTATATTCCATGGAATGCTCTTAACATCCCGATAGCAATGAATATATAAAATGCTTTGACAATAAATACATAAAAAATGTCATCTGTGGAAACCGTGGTACTGTAAAAAGCACGACCAATTAGTGATGGCAGTTTGACACTGAAGCTTCGAACGGAGCTTCAACCCTGGACTTCCTATTCCATAGAAGCAGTGC